GAACAAACGTGTGCAAGTGTCAGCGAAGCTGTACCGGATTCATTCATGTGGGAAACGGCGAGGAAGCGGCGGCACATCGAAAAATGCAAGAGAAATTTGCTGACTGAAATGTAATACATGCGTTTTGTAGTATAACGGATGAAGTACTTCAACGTTAGTACTTGTAGCATTCGTTATTCGTGTGTGCTCGTGCATAAACACCATTCGACATGCTCTATTGCTCTAGTGATCCCGATGGAGAAAGATCGGCTAACGCTGTCACTTGTATGTTACAGTACCCCGGAAAATGACATGATGGCATTTATTGACGATGACTCGCTGATGGATGAACACAACAGACGCGATGAGTGTCGAGCACTCTCGCCATCCATGTCTCTGCGACCACCTCATTTGCAGAATGGCTGGGGTAGCTCTCTGGGTCAGCGCATCAAGCAGCAGCAGCAACAGCAGCAGCAGCAACAACAACTGCAGCAACAGCAGCAGCAACAGCAAAAGCAGTTGTCATTGAGAAAGCCGGTCCAAGTAACAAGTTCCAACATGAATAACAATAACAACAATAACAACAGTAACAATGCCAATGCTGGTATATATAATGAATATGCACTGTTCTATTCTTTTTAGTCGAACTTTTAGATAGCAAAATATAGTAGCAGTTTACTCGTACCAAATTCTATCAGATTTCTAATACAGATTCATATCCGCATTAAACTTAAAATCTGTCGACAATCTGTTGATATATTGTATCAGTAAAAACTGAGAAATATCTATGTGTACAGTAATCTAGTAGCAGGATTTATTCTGTTTTTGATGGTAATCTATCTATATCGTCATCAGATTCTATATGAAATTTGTAGCTCTCTTTTGCTATAAAAATTTAGCATGTTTTGCTCAAAATCTGTCTCTGCAAACTTAGCTGTCTCATTACTTACACAATTCCCTTTTTTTTTTCTCCAACATGGATAGAAGGAAAAATGAACTATGTAAAAAATTCAGCTAAAAAGAACAAGCCTATTCGATTTGAAAATGTGAATGGAAATTAATGTATTCTTTTTGTTTAGTGTTAGAAGGTGCAGCGGGTCAAGGTTCACCGCTGCGTTCAGGCCTAAATCTACAACTACGTTCGCACGCTTCCCCGAAACTTCCAGTGCAGGAGTGCCCGATGTGCCCCTACAGTTCCGACAGTCCACTGAAGCTGGAAGAGCATATCAATCGCCAACATTTTGATCTCACCTCGCCGTCCTTCCCGCCGGAATCACCGCCGTCGCGGGACGGTGTCTTCAACTGCCCCCTTTGCGTTACGTCTTTTCCGAATTCTTCTGATCTTGAGTTACATGTTAATATCGAGCACAAAGATATACTTAGGTACGCATTCACGTGCAATATATTTAGAGTAGCGCTACGACTATACGAGTGAATTAATTATAGCACAATTATATGACAATTGTTTAATGATAATTTATTTTTATTATAGTCCTGCAAACGGAACAAGTTCACAATCCGATACGGCTACTATCGGTAACGATTCCACGCCTGCCTGTCCAGTATGTCTTAGTACATTATTTAAAAATAATGACGACCTAATGGCACACATCGAAGAGCACTTCAACAAGAAGAGCACGCCGTCGCCCGTAACGCCGGACGTGTCGTCTGACCGTATGCTAGCAAGGGATATGGAGAGGAGAGAAAAGGAAGTAAGGAAACTACGCGAACAGCGTGAATTTGAGATGCTGAGAGCGCAGTACGGTATGGACAATCAGGGTAACTTCAGAGAACAGAGTGTCACTAATATGCAGCGGGCTGTGTATGCGGGTGAAATGACGGTGGCTGATTTCTTTGAAAGACAAATCGAGCTCAGAGTCGCCGAGAGTAGCGGTATCGACGACGGTAGTTCTTGTACGCGCGGTATGTATGATTTATAATATCTTTTGTACTAAAGTGCCTGGCTTTATTTAAAAAACTTCGTATTATTTACTCTCTTGTAGGGCTGGTCCCGAAAATACGAGCCATTAGTCAGGCTTGCAGTAACGTAGTGAATACCTGGATGTGTTCCACTGTGGACCATTACGCATCGACTTACGGCGATAAGGGCTGGGGCTGCGGTTACAGAAATATGCAGATGCTAATCTCATCTCTCTTGCACCACACAGGATACAACGATTTAGTTTACAAAGCGTGGAGTTCCGGAGCCGGCGGCAACAGTTCCACAGAGAATCCCCTGCGTAGCTCCATGCCATCGATCTCGAGATTGCAAAAGATGATCGAGTGGGCGTGGGCGCAGGGATTTGATACCCAGGGCGCGGAGCAGCTCGGCGGTAAACTCGTTAATACTAGGAAGTGGATCGGCGCCACGGAGGTATTCACGCTGCTGTCTAGTTTGAGGATAAAGTAAGTTCCATGAACGCGATTGATCGTAGAGTCATACGACGCACACTTTTCTCTCCCTGACTTCGTACAGGTGTCAACTGGTGGACTTTCATAGACCTACCAGCGCAGACGGCGGTCATCCTGAATTGTTCAATTGGGTCTTGCAATACTTTCAAAGATGCGAAGACTTCAAGCCACCTATTTATCTTCAACATCAAGGTAAACGTTTTTCTCTTCGCGTACATTTTTCAGAAGTTAAAACCAAACTAACACACTCAAATAAATTTAGGGCACAGTAGAACAATCATGGGTGTGGAACAGCTAAGGGACGGTTCAATAGCTATGCTGGTGTTGGATCCGAGCCATAGTCCACCGCAAATGGCGCATTTCAATAGTACGAGTAGCGCGCCCGGAGCGATGAGACTCGTACGGAAGTCCACCGTAGCAATGAAAGCCAGACAGTATCAAGTTGTGGCTGTAACCGGTACTATGGATACAGAAGCGCAGTACCAGGTAATGTATACAGGCGTCTTTAAATAACCTCCTTATTCATTAACGATACGCACGAAGTGTTTATTTCACTTCTTTTTTTTTCTTTTTTAGCAAAGTAAAGTATTACGATCAATGCGAGTTCCTCAAGACAGGTGAGAGTTGCTGGTCCGAGAAATAATCAAGCCTCGGGCAAAGACTATAGACTACTGCCTCAAACCAATCTTATTCAATATCCTTGAAATTACGTGACCGCGATGTCCTGTTCTTCTACCGCTAGCAGACTATTATTCCATTGTAGTATATTATATATAGTTGCAGATCTCGTATTATTTAACAATATATTCTTGCATCTCTCTAGTTGTTAACGATGGACTGACTTCTTGAATCATTGTGTCCCCGTGAAGCCTGTGACGCGGTGAATAATTTTGCGGAGTTAATATTTAAATATCAAAAAATGGCTCTTCGTCGCTGTAAACGAGTACGTAATCATTTCCTAAATGGAGAAGTCCTTAATGTTAAATAAAAATCTGTCGTACTACGCGTAAATTTCTGCGAAGAGGAATTATCAGATTTAAGACGGGATAAAAGGCCCGTGGGAACATAGTGTTAAATCGATCGTCATTTCTTGTCCAAAATATTCTGCTCAATTTTCGTCGCACCAAACAGGCTGTGCTAACCCATCGACCAATCGTCTTGTACCGATCGGTTGCACCATCGAAAAAGCCGTGGCAGAGCTTGGAAAACGAGACTTTTTCATAGCTGTGATGCTGTTATCAATACGACGCTAATCATCCATATTTAACAGTTACACTCTTGGAAACGCTCCAGAATCAACGCGGTGTTCCCAGCACTTGTCTCGTTCTACATCTTACAATCTGACAAAGATTTCCATCAAAGCGTTGTCGACTTTTAGTCAATATGAAAAGTGCCGAGAACCGTACGGTGCATACCTTACGACAAGTTTTATATATGAAAGAGATATTCTTTGACGCATTTTAATTGCTAAAACGCTTCTATGAAAGAATCTGGAGTGTCTGCAAAAGTGACCAAAAAAATCGCATTTTCATATATATTGTATATATTATATACTATATATCCATACACACACACACACACACACACACACACACAAATACACCACACATATATTACACATCTGCACATTCTCCGTTATATCGTATCTCACTTACCCACACATAAAGTACAACTACTTTCGTATTAATTATAAATATTCTATTTAATTATCCTATCGACTTTAGGCTACTTATGTCATAGCTCGTAAGTCCAACGCAATGCTGTGAATGAGAAGATAGATGAAAAAAAAAGTCCATTTACTTGTTATTTATATTATATACTTGATGATTATGTGAGTTAGTACATTCTCTTATTATTACTCTCTTATCATGTTTCATAAATTGTACTGATATTATATCTAAAATCTATTTATTATAGTTAAAAATATATTTACGACCGTTCTATGAAAACACGATGTCTCGTGGGATCGTTGTGTCGTTGTTTTATAGCTTCGATATTTATAACGCACCAGTCAAATGTAAGTTTGTCTTTCAGCCCAGTAGGACCATATCGCAATAAAATTATTGACTGGCTGTAAAAATTGTGAAAAATGATATATTATAATTATAGTACTGGAGATTTCGCCAGATATCGATTTAAGAATCTGTTCATTATTTGGAGTGTTCAGGGAAACCAAGCTGTGGAATTGTTATGCAAGAGTAAAACCTTTGCATTAGCCACACATCAAATTAAAATATATGCTTTGTTAGAATTCCCAATATGGCTTCGCTCCTCATTCTCTCATCCTATGCCATGAAAGCAAAAGGAAAGGACCAACTTAGGCCGTTAAATCTTAATGAAAAAAAAAAAAACAAATATGAAAAAATCTTAACGAGAAAAAAACGTGTATGATTTTATTTCTCTCTTACATAGTTATATTACAACAGTCTACCTCATGTTTCTTGAAGGTCATTCAAATAGTTTATTTAAATTAAACTATTTTGTATATATAGTTTCATAAACATAATAGTTTATTTTTTATCAAGTCTAACAAGAAAATTATTTACAAAGATACATAAGTATGTATATAAATATGCTTATAAAACCTGAGACTTCTCAAGATTCTTTGTGGAATATGCCCTTTATGACGAAGACGTCTTTGGTGTCAAGACATTTATTATTCTATGTTTTATATATTAAATCCCATTGATCGCATACATGTTTTATGCGCTTCTATGAGGTCGCCGCACTTTTCCTCGCCCTTTTCAATAATACTGAAAATATAAAGTATAACTTTATGATATAAAATCTATCTTTATGATGTAAAATAGTACCTTACAAAAAGATAAAATTAATTAGTTATTTTCCATTTACACCGATTCTCAGATAATTCGCACTTGTGACGTTATAATCCAGTAGAATGCGCGTTAATTTTGTATTCTGATAAGGGAGATTCAACTGAGATTTTTACCTATAAACTGCACAAGATCGAGATCACTGTGCTTTACTGAGCCTCGTAGAGTACTCAATTGAGGTTTAAAATTGAGGTTATGAACCTATGTTGGTATTTGTTAATTTTACAAAAGTAAGCAAGTAGTGACATCATTAATCTGAGTATTTCATACTCAGTTTACTTGTATGTAAATGGAAAACAACTATTCTCTTTAATTAATTTTAGGCATAACCTTAAAATGGAATACACATAACTATTGATATATAATAGCTGTATTAAAATATAAATATAAGATATCTTAAATTCATATTTTTTATAAAACATCTCCATTTGATAAACAAAATATAGCAACATTTTTAACCTAAAATAACTTTATATTCGTGATTAAGAAATCATATTACATACCACGTGTCTCTCGCTTTCTTAGTTTCAGGACAGGCACAGCAAGGTTTTAGTTTCTTTTTTTCTTCCTGCTTCGATTCTACTTTTGTTGCAGAGTTACCCATTCTTATTAATTATAAGAAGAAACCTAGCTGTCTCACAATTTTTAAAAATTTTATACGATCCAATACGATCCTAAATTACGTAGAATGCGTAGAATGCTACACAAGCGCCTCTGCAGTAAGTTTCACAAATGTTGTATAATGTATTTATCGACAATCAACAATTAATATTTCACAAATGTTGTCTAATGTATTTATCGACAATCAACAATTAGTATACAGGATGTAACTAAAAAAACATACCTATATGGAGCATACCATGGGTGCGTTCCACTTAACGTTTGCAACGCTCGTGAGTATCATTTTGTCCTTTTTGTAATCGAATATATTAAATAAGGATGAGATGATTAAGAAATCGCGATTGTTGCGAACGTCAAGTGGAACGCATCCCATGAGATACAGGATAAAAATCCAAGTAGAAAAGTCCTGAGTCATTTTTTGATCTGAGCTTTCAGTTCGTTATTTTAGCAAATTAGCGCCCGATAGAAGAAAAACAAAGATATAGCAAGGCGGAGTGGAGTTGACGAATTCGCGGCGGGAGGAGAACAACGATGAGCAGCAAAGCGGGTGTAATTATCAATCTCTCTCTCTCTCCTCCCCCTCTCTCTACACCTTGTTTAAAAAATGTTAAAAATCAGAAAATGTAGAGCTAAAATAAATGATGTAGAGAGAGAGAGAGAGAGAGAGAGAGAGATTGATAATTACAGCCGCTTCGCTGCTCACCGTCGTTCTCCTCCTGCCGCGAATTCAAATTTAAATTTTTCTTGACTCGTATAAATTGTAATTGAAATCAGTTATTATCTGTAATCGGTAAATTTATTGCTAGTGATTTCACGGACTGTTGGCAATTATAAATTCTACCTATAATATGCGTTATGTCAATTATTAAGAAATTTAATGTATAATTAGCAAAGAGACATATATAACCATTAAAAGACAATATATAATTGCATTTATCTATTCCAAGAATTTTACAAATTGAAAGAAAATTTTTAAATTAACAATTGTATGAAAAGAACTTTCTTTGTTTTGTTCCAAGAATCTCTCAACTTTTCAAAAATTTTTTACGTTGCTAAAAATAAACGGCACGTATATGCGCATTACTCACGCGATATAATACACAAGACTTGAATACAGAATAGCAATACCAGAGCTATTATTAGAGCACGCTTATTTATGAACAGCTTTAAATAAAATTTCATTAACAAAAACTTAGATATGTATTTAGTACAAGTAATCTTAGCACTCTATTGTTTTTTTTTTTTTTTTTTAAATAATATCTCTAGATTTTTAAATCTACTAAAAATTTTTGACAATTGTGAAATTAATAAAGTGTTAAAAATAAATAAATATATATATATA